AGGTTTCTTTTCTCAACACTCCTCAGCGCTGAAAGTGAACACTCGATGCTGATTGGCTCATTTTTTTTACCAACGGAGGCACAAGAGCTCAGCTCTCCCCCGGCCTCCCCCTCCTCTTCTCTATCACCTAGCGGTTGAATTTTATCAGCAGATTCAGCACATTCGCGATAGAAATGCAGCGCTTTCCAACTTCAGTAACATGTTATGGTATTACAGCTGTGAAATTACAAACAAAAAATACACATTCTGAGACATGAACTGAAATGAATTGTGAATTTTATTAACATTAAATCGTCCTCCCATTTTCACCTCAAAATTTTGGGGAAGCTGTGCCTCCCCCGACGGGCCGCCACTGCTTATTTATCCAAAACTTTAGACTGAGGAATGTGTCAGTTTTGCTTTGAGGATGAAGGGAATGTAAGCAAACAGAAATCAACAGGGTTAATATGAGATGCCTGGAGAATGTTCTGTAGTACAACGATGGATTTACAATAGCATTTAGCTCAAGAGTTTTCATTTCTTAAAGAAATACAAGACCATAAAAGTAGTGCGCGCAGCTCATATTTCAAGTCTTCTAAAGTTTCCAAATACTCACTTGTAAGTACCGCTGCATCCCTCAAATTTCTACTAACAAATTAGTAGTACATTATGAATAACAAATTTAATTTAAACTGCATCAAAATCATAATTATGTATATTACAGAGCAGTACATGTCAATCAAACCTATCAGGAGACATATAATAGCACATATTGCCTGCCATTTGAAGAAAGAGACGTTTTAAGAGTCAAGGCTCATTTGCTGCTGTATATGAAGGAGAAATTAAGCAACAGAGCAGAAAGCTTTAAAACTTTCACAAGGGCCTGTTATGATGAGCTGCTCCTTTTCAGTGCCAACAATGCGTGTCGTCTTCCTCTTTGTTCAAGAGATGATTCATTTTATGTGTTACGTATTTTTTCTTTCTTTTTTTTCTATTTTGTAGACTCAAACCCCAGTCCTAAACATGGAGCTCTCCACCAAGAGGGTAAGTGGACATGTTTTAGTGGGTGGCCACTTGCTTTCACAACATTACGAGCTTCATGTTTTTGCTTTTAAACCCACTGTAATGTCTTGCCCCATAGACTTTCTTTGTAAGTGTGCCACTGTAAACGCTAGATTTGATAAAGGTTTATCATTAATTACCATTTGTATTCATTTGTTAAAGGTTAGTCTGTTTTATATCACATTTAGACATACATCCTCATGTATTTTTGATTTTTCTTCTCTAGCAAGTGCTCTTTGTAAGCAGTGATGAAGGGGTCGTCCAGCTTCCTGTGCAGAGGTGTGAGCTGTACGGTAAAGCGTGTGTAGACTGCTGTCTAGCTCGTGACCCATACTGTGCTTGGGACGGGTCCTCCTGTACTAACTACTTCCCTAGCAACAAAAGGTACTTCCCTTTGTATTACATTTAATACATTCTCATTGGTCAGAAAACCATATAATCATTTTAGAATTTTAGTGATTATTCAAAGGAATGTTTCTGAATTATTATTTTTTAAAATCAACGATAAGAAATGGCAACACTTTATTTTAAGGTGTCCTTGTTACACGTTACATGTACTTACGATAGTAATAACAATAAATTATGCATAATTACATGCAACTAACTCTAAACCAAATCCTAATCCTAAACATATAGTAAATACATGTATTTAATTAATATTAATCTGTATTATGTATAATTATACTAATTACATAATTATATTATAACAAGGACACCATAAATAACAACAATGGTGCAGTTTATTACACTTTAAGAAAATTTTGCGAATTAGTAAATAAAGATTTCACCCTTTGTATTTCAGAATTTCTTGTTTAATTTCAATGTTACTTGTTGTATCTTTGTATTTATTTGTGAAATGTACTAGCAATTTCTGAGCGGAAATTGTTTCTACACCAATTTATTTTATTTTTTTGTAGAATTGATTTCAGTCTTAAATATATACATTTTATTGAGTTTTATTAACAAACAATGGAGAAATTGTAGGCTTGGTTAGAGTGAATTTGTATTAATTTTATTTGGAGTATTTATTAGTGGAAATGGCTTGAATTACTAATACCGAAAACCACCAGGAAACCTGTCAAATAATGGATCTGAGGGTCAGTAACATCCTCTTGTGGTCCGCAGGCATGCCCGGAGGCAGGATGTGAGGTATGGAGACCCCTGGAGCCAGTGTCAGGACATGAGAGACGGTAATAAATCACTTTCTGTTCACCTCACCACTTTCCACCTTCAGGTTGTAGATGATATTGGCCAGTCCTGAAAAAAAAATGCACACTACTCCCTCTAGTGTACAAAGTGGACACTAACACATGCTAAGATGTGTGCACCAGTTCAATATGAAATCAAAACTGATCTTGTTTACATTCTTAATACAAGTTTTTGGTCTTGCTGTTAAAGAAGTAATAGAACACGTTCCAAATAAAAAATAAAAATAAGCTTTTTGGGAGCTAAAAGTGTCCATTCCGTCTCTACATGTTCAGAGAATGCTGAACTGAAGACAGTTTACGCTGTGGAGACAAACTCAACCTTCCTGGAATGTGTCCCACGTTCACCACAAGCCACGATCAAGTGGATAATTCAGCCAAACCACAGCCAAAGCAGCAAAGAAGTCCGTCCACATCCTGTTTAGAAGATTTAATCATGAAAAACCATAAAATAAGTGGATATACACTTAATTCATCCTCTTCTATTCTAACACAAACCCCTTTCTATCTCTCAGTTGGTTCCAGGTGAAGAAAATCTCATCCACATGCAACGCGGGCTCCTCCTCCAGCACTTAGCATTCGCTAATGCTGGCCTGTACCTCTGCGTAGCCTACGAACACTCGTTCTCCCGCACGCTAGCCCGCTACGAGGTCCACGTTATCCCCCAGAACCACATGTCGAGAGCGCAGAACACCCATCCCGGAAATCACGCAGCCTTGCCACGGACCTACAAGGAACTCCATTTAATGGGAGTTAGTGAGCTAACGTCTGATGAGTACTGTGAACATCTTTGGTACCGCAAAAAACGACGACAGCAAAAACTACGCTCGCTAAAGTTGAAGCAGGTGGCTGAAAATCGTAAAGCGAGAGTTAGGCGACAAAATCCACCCAACAAGCCTCTAGACGGAGGTGAAACTGCAGACTTGTGATGAAGAGAAGGACTGTGTGACTTCATCTGGACAATTAGCATCTTGTTTGTAGCTTGATGGCTAAAGCTACATCCCGACTAGCTGCAACCAGCAAATGCTACTGTTAACACAACAACAAAGGGCTACAGCTAAGAACTGTATTATTCTTCTATTAAGTCCTCTCTTAAGTTTCATTTTGTAGCCTGTGCTATTGTTAGCACGTAGCTTTAACACAGTATAATCAGACTGTAGCTGTGCAACTGAGATGAATTTGTGTAGTCTGGCATCCACATTTTGCATACATTTAATGTAATATTTTCAAACCGTTTCTATTATTTGTGAACCTTCTTGAAAGACAAGCACCTATGCTTAATGCTAGGTATGCTTGGTAAGCTAATATTGAAAATGGACAAGCTAATGCACTGTTTTGAGCGAAATGCAGTGCAACGATGAACTGACTTCTCTTGCTTTCACAAGGCATGTAGATTAAATAGTCCCTAGAGCTGTATATCATTGTGTTGCTATTATATTTGGACTCTTGACACAGTCATATTTACAAATTTGTTCTGACAACAGCAGGTGCCTCATGTTCAGAGGAAGTTTGCCCAGGATGTGCCCTTCATATGTTTCCTTCCCCTTCAAGTACAATCTCTTCTGCTCTTTCCTGAGAACATCCTTGAGTAAATATTGTGTTTGCTTTATGACTCCTTTGCAAATCTCTCCACTCTGGTCCCTTGTGTTGTGTGTACAGTATGTGTAAGATGTGTTCGTGTGTGAAAGCATCTGGGGATGGTAAGTAGAAAATGGCATCCAAAGATCAAAGAGCTTTTTAAAATTCTCTTCACTGCCCATGAAAATGACTTCCAGAACCTCGTGCTTTTGTTCTTCACCGTAACTAAATGAAAAGTTGTCTTTGGCTCACAGTGAAAAATGAAATAGGTTCATGGTTGGTTGATGATTAGATTAAAAAACACTAAATGTACATTGTTTTAATGTATGTTGATTATATAATGGAGTTCACATGTTGGGTTACTCCTTTATGTCTCTCTCTCTCTAGCATAATATACTTTTAATGTTGTAGTGGTTGCTATATATTTAAATACCTAATACCTGATTTTAGACTTGTATATAATACTGTTCAAAACATAGTAAGATTTTTTTTTATTATTAATTATTTTATTCAGCAAGATTTCAAGTTGACCAAAAGTGTCAGTAAAGATGTTATAATGTTACAAAATATTTATATTTCATATAAATGCTGTCCTTTTGAATTTTATATTCATAAAAGAATCCCGGGAAAAAAATCTGAAATATATTAAGCAGCACAACCATTTATAACATTGAGAATCAGAAATGTTTCTTGAGCAGCAAATCAGCACATTAGAATGATTTCTGAAGGATCATGTGACTGCTGGAGTAATGATGCTGAAAATTCTCTTTTGCATCGCAATAATAAATTACAGTGTTTTAACTGTGATAAATAAAAAATGATGAGCCTTATTTGCTGGTTGCTTATAACATGCAAGGTGAATGGAACATTAACACTTTGTATGAGGTAACATTCTTAAAATAGGTGTAAACCTCAGATAAGCAAAGCTGTGCAAGTGCGACTAGATTAGATGTTGAATTATGAAAACATTATTGGTCACACTTTGTTTTAAGGTCCAATTCTCACCATTAACAAATCATTAACTATATACAACTTTTGCCTCAATAAACTCCTAATTTGCTGCTTATTAATAGTAAGGTAGTTGTTAAGTTTAGGGTATTGTAGGATTAGGGATGTAGAATATGGTCATGCAGAATATGTGCTTTATAAGCACTAATAAACAGCCAATAGGTTAATAATAGGCATGCTAATAAGCAACTAGTTAATAGTGAGAATTGGACCCTATGTGTTACCACATTATTTATAAAGGTTATAAATGTAATTATAAAAGGTTAATTTAGCTGCAGTGCATCCATCTACAAATCATGTTATACACTGATTTAAAAAATTGGTGTAGAAACACTTTTCACTCAGAATTTAGTCAATTTCACAAAGAAACTGTAACACATGAATCAAACTTTTTTAATGTATGACGTGTAAAAAAAAAATGAATCAAACAGTGGTCTAACTTCAGTAGATTTACTCTAAGGCTGATGATACACTGGGCAACTTTTTGAGCAATTTTGCCGGGCAACTTTTTTTGAGCAATGTTGCTTGGGCACTTTCACATTGAGAATGGATAACAAATTTCTATCTGGTCACTTTAGATCGGTCGTGGGCCCTGTGTCTCATCTGGTTGCCCATTGACGGCAACACAGGTCAAAGTTGCCCGGCAACATTGCTCAAAAAGTTGCTCCGTGTATCATCAGCCTTAGAGTGGCTTCTTCCATGGGTAGATCTTTCCTTTGTGTAGACTAGCCCCAGGCAGCAGGTCAATGGCACAGTCCCATGACTGGTGTGGTGGTAGTTGGGTGGCTGCCTGCTTGCTGAATACATCCTGGAATGCCTGGTATTCTCAACCATGGTGGATGCAAGGTCTACAGGCTTGCAGGAAGGGGATCCGGAAGATTTAATAATAGGTGAAAGACTGTTCTGATGGCAGCGCTCGCCCCACTGAAGAATCGCTCCAGTATTCCAATCCACGATGGGTGCGTGTTGAGTCATCCACGGGCATCCCAGGATGATGTCAGCCATAGAGCCCTCCAGCACCAGAAAGGAGATTTGCTCCTGATGTAGATTCCGGATGCGGAGCGTGACGGTGGGTGAGCAGATGTGTCCGCGGCCCAGCGGCTTTCCTAGGATGGTCTAAATGTGAAGTGTTTGAGCACAGGATTTCCGTCTGAGTTGAAGTTTTTGCAGTAGATCTAGGGAGATGAAGTTCCCCAAGGAACCAGAGTCAACATGGGCTTGCGTTGAAACAGAGTGTTGGGCAGTAGTTACCATAACGGTAGTACGAGTCAGAGATGCGAACATGGGTTGAATTTGAACTGTACTCACCGCTGGGTGAGGTGGATGGACAGGAAAGGTGGATAACAGGTGACCACTGGCTCGACAGTTCAGACATAATTGATTAGAGATTCTCCTCTGATGCTCCACATGGGACAGGCGATAGGTATCCATTTGCATCGGCTCTGGTGCTGGAGGGGCGACTGATAGAGGAACTGCAGTGGACTGATCCATTTCACACGCTGACATGCACTGTGAGATGCGGATGGCCCGCTGAATAAAGTTCTCTAGCCCCACAACAACATCATAAATCTTTGATATTAAAATCAGCAATCAATCAATCTATATACATCTATATATACTACATTATATTTAATTTGCAATATTAGTGTTATTGTACATAAGATTCATAGATTGAATAGTTCCTTTTAAAACATTCGTAATTACTTATTACTTGTCAATTACATAATATTTAGCCTACATCTCTCCAACTCGCCAAGACACTTCAAAAAAGTAAAATATATACATAAAAAAATCAAATAAACCCTAAATGCATTTGTTGATTATCGCAGACAGAAACAGGATGGCTACTGAGATGACAGCAACATGTCTCTAATAGTGACTGAATTTTATTTACAAACTAACTGACACTTGAATTTCCTTCAGGAAATGCAAATATAAATTTACAGTGTTAAAGTAATCTGTAATAATCATACACTAAAAAAAATGCTGGGTTAAAAACAACCATTTTTGGGTTATTTGGCAACCCAGTGCTGGCCCAGCGCCACTGGGTAAATATCGGACAGAACACATGTTGGGTGTCACAGACCCTGCTTTCCATTCGGAAGGGCTCATCCCTATGCCCTAATCCCTTCAATAGGTTTACCCTCCAGAGTGAGAGCTTCGAAGGGTTGAAGGGTGTAGAGGACCAAACAACTGTTCCTTGAAGTGCCCTTCTGCGTCATCATCACGTGCCCACACGGAGGCGCCGTCATCATGCAAAGAATCTGCTCAAAGGATCATGGGAGCCCGAAGTGTCCATCAGTTGTACCCTTCTAAATCCTGCATTCCGAAGGGCCCTTTGAAGTGGCCAGTTTTGAGCACTTTGGTTTGGAATGACCCTTCAATATGGCTGCCATGATTGTTTTCACTCTGAAGTGCCCTTCGGAGGGCGATATATCCCGTTTGGAACGCACCGAGAGTCACCAGCCATGCCAGGTCCTGCAGCTCCACCCATTCGTTCACAATCCCCGGAGTTCTGATTCACCGCACATGCCTTCACCAATCAAGCCACCCTTTATAAACCCCCACTGTGCACTTCCCATTTGTCTGGTCTTGTTGTTACCTTATGCAACGAACCTGTTATGTTGCCAACTCTTCCGGCTTCGCCAAGGTAGTCTGCTGGATTCACTAACAACCATGTCACCTCCTTTAACACACATAGACTGCTGTTGTGCTCACTGTGATGAGTTTTGAAAAAGTGACCTAATTATTGAGAAATTGGTCCTAGAGATTGTAAAAAAAAATGTGTGTATGTAATGTGAATATATCAATGTACTGTACTGATAACCACCATAATAATACAGATAGAGACAGATAGAAGACCACATGATGAATCAGACTTCCACCAGCAAGGAACAGTGAATGTAAATGTTCTGGAAATTGGTTTTGTGCCTCTCTTTGATGGTACCATGAGGCTTGAGGCATGAGGCAATATCTCCATTTGTCACATGATGATGTTGCGATTCTCCATGTATTTTTCTGCTGGCAGAAGAATGAGTATTTTGGATATATATTACAATTATGTTGCAAAGACTTAGGTCTGGTAAGACTTTATCTAGGAGTATTAAACGGTACATTTTATGGTAATGTGCACGGTTTACAGTAAAATTATATACAATTTGATATGAACCCATTTATATTTAGCTTACAGTTAACCAGATTTTACAGTAGACATTTTCCATACAAAGTAATGCAATTTTATATTTCGTGTTTTTAGCAGAGTGGGTGTGAACTTTTCAGGCACACCTGTAGAGGGAGCTCTCATGTTAGCTATATGGAAATGTTTATGCACTACTCACAGAATAAATGTTTAAACATACTTGAGGAAGACGATCTCTTTACTTGGGTCACAATCACTGTGGAGTGTTAACATTTCTGTTCTGTGTAGCTCTTTGATAAAGAGTGACTACGCTGTGGGCCTTATTAGCCATTATATGTTACTTGAAACCGAAGGACTGTTGTTCAATTACAACTATAAGTCAAGTCAAGTCAAGTCAAGTCTGCTTTATTGTCAATTCTTCCACATGTACAGCACATACACACAGAGAATTGAAATTGCGTTACTCTCAGACCCTTGGTGCATACAGATAACACTAACAGTAGAACATAAATACAGATATACAGATTAAATATAAAATACAACTATACAAATAAGGTGAAGCCGCAGCGTGTGAACGCGCCGCCATCTTGAGGCGCCAAGAAACTTGAAATAAAAAATGAAAATAATTACAGGTACGAAATGACATCTGTGTATATGTGGATTGTATTGTGATTTTTAAGCTCTGTATAAACATGCATTAATAATATGATGCATTTGGGGGATGTCATGATATTACCTTAATAGAACAGTATTCATATCTAAACCAAGCTATAACACATTCATTTAGTTTCTTAGCTAATTCACTTCTCAGCTCTGCACTAGAAAAGGCAGATGTTTAAAAGTTGTATAATAATAATCTTATAATATACAGGCACAATAGTATTAGCTTTTTCTCCAGAAACAAATATTTATGGCTTTATGGATTTGATTTTTTTCAAAACGCATTACTATGTGTATGTGGGATAAACTGTGGATCATTTATCATTGCTTTGGCAGAACATGCATTCAGTACATCTTTCCAGCTTTGGTTATGGGAAAGTGAGGACGGTTGCAACACTTTTTGCACTTCCTTCAGTTTCTCTAAGACTGAGAGTGTTTGTGTTGGGAAGCCAACATTTTGATTATATTAAACCCACTTCTGTCAGCTACTCACCCCCACTGCTGAAACATGTGATGATATATGTACAATTTATACTTCAATAGTCAAAGTCAAATGTTGCCGCTGACC